AGAAGACTGGTCCCAAGGTGAGCTGCTGTGGGAGAAAAGAAGTCTTAACAGGGACCTGCCAGAGAGCCACTGACCTTCCCTACTTCAATGTTTTTCTCCTGCTGTTTCCCCATTCCCCCCTGACTCTTTAGACACCCGTGGGAACAGTGTGTGTGGACCAAGGGAGGGGAGAATAAAAGGAAGGGGAAGGACACATGTGAAAGTAGATGAAGCCAGAGTCCCTGCTTTCTCCCAGAACAACAGATCTCTCTGCATGTGTCTGTGTGTGCGTGACCTTACAGGTATTTAGCGTCTAGATTTCTCCTGTCTCAACTCTGGGGTCCTTCACAGAAGTCCAAGAGTTGGGGACAGCAGTTGGGACTGAAAAACCCGATACTGATCCCCACTCTCAGCTCAGAAAGGGCGAGGAGGAGGAGGTTGCTGTTAAGGCAGGGTCTTGGTTCAAGTGGTTGGGATGACTTTTGGGTATCCATTCGCACTGCTCGCAGCAGAGGGCACTGTCCCCTTACATATGTCATCTCTTCCCTTCACAGCAGAGAGAGGCTTTTAAGAAGCGCTGGTTCACGCTGGATCACCGCAGGCTCATGTACTTCAAGGACCCTTTGGTGAGGGGGAGATCTGATCTCTGGCAGCTGCAGGCAACGGTGCTGAGGGCAGGGTCAAACTAGAGTCTTTGCTCTGCAGTAAGGGAGGCTTGCAGGTTCCCCAGCTGCTCTGAATGGACTCTAGGTCTTCCCCTTTCCATCCCACTTAGTTCATCGCATGCTTTCTGTGTTTTTTTCACTGCCTGCAAACAATGGGAACAGGGAGGGCAGCGGTGTAAAGGTGGTGGGAGGGAGGAGACTGACATGGGTGGTGACATGGAGAGACAGGAGCAGCAGTTCCTCTCTCAGACCTCTCGAGATATATGCTCTTAAATTTTCCTTTCTGCTGCTGCTTTTGAGCATAGCCTTCCTGCTCTTCTGAATCCCCTGACCACCTTCAAATCCTTTTGCTGCTACATCCCTGGTCCTCACCCACTCTCCTCCTGGCCTTAGGTGCACTGCTATTATTGTCTAGTTGTTCTGGGATTCTGTAAACCCTTAGGATGCATTTGCTAAGGGTGAGGTATTTGTGGGCAGCAGAGAAAATGGATACAGTGTCCAGAAGGGATTGCCTTCGGGGACACAAGGTAACTTCTCTTGGCACTACGGCCTCACCATTGTCACCCCCGACCGGGAATACCTTTTCACCTGTGAGACAGAGACTGACCAGTTGGACTGGATCGCAACCTTCACTAGCGTCATCAACCAGGCCATGACACCACAGGAATATGCAAGTAAGCGACTGGATGCTGTTTCCTTCCCCTCCTGCCACTCAAGTTCAGGGTATTGCCCTAATGCACCACCTTTTTCCTTCACTACAGTTGAAGCCTACTTCAGGTTTAAATCCTAGGAAGCCATGCAGCAACCTCGCTATGACTCAACTCTACCTGGTCCTGTTGGGTGGGCTGTCAGGAGAGGAGAGGAGATCGACATCAGAGAAACACATGCTCTTGAAGCACCCTTTGAAGCACTTTTTTTCCCCATAGACAGTCCACTTTGTTCTGAGGGCCCAGTTAAGCTGCTTCCTTTCAAATGCAAGACTTTGTGAGTCTGAATCCTCAGTGCAAACTGTCACTGTTAAATTTCTGTGATCGGACAGGATGCTGGCAGACCTTGCCTGTCAGTCAGGCCTTGAAAATTTGGCACTTGCTATGTTGGACATGGGGCCTAGTATCACTCCTGCATGAAACTGCAGACAGCCACCTACCTTACGCAAGAATACAGCTGCCTGGCTGGAGCTGCACCCCAGTGGGTTGCAGGGGCTGCTGGACTAGGGGAGACTGTTTCTTTACAAGAAATGGCTTCTCTGCTGGTGACAGAGATGTGAAACATCTAGATATTTGATCAATTAGAGCTGTAGTTGAGAAAGGTCACTCAAAAGATGTAATCTAACAGCCAAATGTGAGGCCTGTTTCCTCCTGCTGTGTATGGGCTTGAAAGCTTCTTCAGACCACATTTGTGTGGAGACCTTCCTCCGATTGCTACAGAGAAGATTAAGAGATCTGCTCAAAACAATGTGTGGGTATACGTTTATGTGTGGATAATGTGTGTGTGCATGTGTGCACGTAACAAAAAGTGATTGGAGGTGGAATACTGCCCTAGGGAAGATACTGTGAGGGATATTCATGCCATTGAAGTTCAGCTGTCAAATTTGAGTCTCTAGTCAAACCAATGGAGAGAGGTTGGGTCCTGCAGAGAGCAGCTTATGGTGTGACTGATACAGAGTTCAGACTCTCTGTTGTCTTTGCTAGAGCGTAGGGGTTGATGTCTGAATACACATGGATCTCTGCTCCCTCATTCTCTGTATGTTAAAGGCCTAACACTTTCATTCTGCCCTATGCATTACATATGTTTATATTGTATATTACATATACATATAATTTGATGCAGTAGTATAACAGGGAGGTCTGTATGTTCATGTCCTTCTAGTAACAGTTAGCCCTAGCCACTGAATCAACCCATGATTCATATCTTAAAGATCATCTCTTAACTTTCTCCTCAGAGAGCTGTGTTTCACATGCTGGAAGGACCAGCTGAGTTCTGCTGATGACTGTACTATCTATCTATCTGATGTGTCTGCAGTTTTATGCAGGCAGTGTGAGAACAGGCATCGTGTGTGTTAAGGGGAGCTAACTGGAATTAATGAGGCAACCAGTATTTTTATTAGCTCCTAAAGAAATTAATAAAAAAATCCCATTGTAATTTATTTTAACTTCCTAAACGAGCTGAGCTGCTAACTGCTAAGGTATGAGGTCATTTCTTGGAAGAAAAGCACAGACAATCAGAGCAAAAAGCCATGGCTATTAATTGCATTTCCTGGGGAACGTGGACAGTGAAACTTCCCATCAGAGCCAAATGGGCAAAGTCATGGTCCCCCTCTGCTTCTCAGGGGACCCCCAGCCCTGTACTGAGACAATCACAACCTGTTGGGAGCATTGACTTCCTGGATGAGAAGCAGCATCACTCATCCTGCTGCCATGGCACGATGGACCTTTCCACCCAAAAGTGTATTTTCACTGCAGTTTGCTGACCTCTCCCAGTTTGGAGCATAACTTTCCTAAAAACCGAAGGCCATCACAAAGCTTGTGTTCCAAAACAAAGTGCCTTTCAGTTCTGGTAACATGAAATGGGGCAGTCCATTAAAAAAAGCTCAAGCCCCATCTAAACAACCTGCACGTTCAGTTCTCTGTGAAGGAGAGTAGAGAGCGTGATCCAGACGTGCCAAGAGCTGACACAGATAACCCAGAGGGAGGCTTCTGAACTTCCCCCCACCGATGCCATATGTGCCATATGCCTGCTCCTGTGCCATGGTCATGCTGAAGCTGTTGCTGTTGCATGCAGCACATTTCTCGGAAAGGTGCTTAGATCCTACTGCAGCGAGGGCAATAGCGATAGGATGCTTCCTTCTCCTGTTTGCTGTTGAGTTGTTGCTGCTGGAGATGAGTGGAGACATTTGACTCGGCCACAACAAAGCTAATACACTGATGGTGCAAAAGAGCATAGCTGGAGTGGACTGAAAACCTCTGTGAACTAACAGCAGAGCACATCTGTCTCTGCTCTGCAAATTCTGTCTCACTGTGTCTGTTCTCTGAGACAAATGAGGCTCGGATGTGGGCGAAGAAAGAGCAGGGTAGTGTTGGGCGCAGAGTGTGGGGATATATAGATGTCATGCAGTGATGCCTTGCTAGAAGGAGATTGTGCCTACCTAAGGCTTCTGCTCCCTGCTCTGAGGTGAAGCAGCAGGTCCTGGGGGTTTGAGGAGAGGAGGGGAAAAGCTTAGAGAAGGAGGATGGTCTTTGGGGAGAGAGAGGAAGGAGTATGTCTAAAATATCCAGCCCTTTGAGTCTCTAGGTGCTTGCTGCTGACTGGGAGACACGGGTGGAACAGAGCCAGGTCATAGAAAATGTGAGATGTCCTACCATCTGGTGGGCTAGCAAACTGGGGGCTACATCCATTGTCTACATCTCAAGGGACCCTGATGTCCTTGGAAGGGAGTGGGAGACAGGCCCTTTCAGCCTGGATTGGCTAAGGGCCAAGGGGAGCAGTGTGGCAGCTCCCTGCCTATTGCACTTTGAGGGCTGGCCCTTGTTTCCCTTCTAAAGCCACAGCATGATGCTTTTCCCTGCCTTGCCTCCTTAGGGAGTCTTGTCTTTCAGTTATCATCTCCTCTCTCAGATGAGGACAACTGTGCAAGGAGAAATGGGAAAAAGAAAGGGAAACAAAAACAAGAAGGAAAAGGGAGCAAGAGGAAGGTGCAGGAAGACATGGGGGAAGAAAGAGCGAATCTGCAAGAAAGAGGAGGCAGCCAGTAGGGCTCCTCAGCTAGTGGCTAAAAAGCTCAGTATAAACTGGGACTGCGTTCACACTGGTATGTGAAGCTGTGAGTCAGACACATTCCTCTGTGCAATGGGTAAGGCAACTCTTCAGGGGTTGGTTCAGGAGGGCAGAGCCCACCTCTCCAGAGTCTGTCTGAGCTGAGAGGACACAGACTTGGGAGGAAAAATCCACTTGTTCACCGAGTCTGCTGGTTTCTGTGGGCCCAGCGAATGCTGGAGAAGCAACAAATGAGGAGCTGGTGAAGAGAAGAGACATTTCCTCCCGGCTGGCAGAGGTTACTTTGCACCTTTCATCTTGAAGGGGAGGGCAGTGCAGTGTCCCTTTCTCAGCCCTTTGATGGTTAAGGAAACCACCGCACAGAGCTTGTGATGGACAAGGTCAGCAAAATGGACTGGGTGGCTGGAGGTGAGGAATAGACTTCTCTGGAATACCCTATGTCTGATGAACTCTAGCCATTCTTCCTTTCCCTTGGCTGCTTTCCTGTTAAGGCTAAACGTGTCCCATACAGCGAGGGGGGAAGGCAGGGGGAAGGAACAGATCTCTGACAACCCGACTTGCTCTTGCTCGCCCTACCCAAAGATGTCGTATGATCCTTCCTTCATCAGCACAAGGCCTGGAGAGGATCCTGAGGGTGGCATTTTCTTGGAGGAAAGCAGCGGCGGGGGTGATGACAGTAGTGTCCTGGGAGGGGACAGCCCAGTCACGGGGCCGCTGGGTGCAGTGCTGCTGGTCATGTGCCTCACTGGGATGGTGGGGAACATCTACACAGTGGTGGTGGCCTCTGGCAGGGTGGCGGGCCACTCAGCGGGCTCTTTGGGCATCTACGTGATCAATCTTGCCCTGGCTGACCTCCTGTACCTCTCCACCATCCCCTTTGTGGTCTGCACCTACTTTGCCCATGACTGGTTCTTCGGGGACGTGGGCTGCAGGCTTTTGCTCAGCCTGGACCTCCTCACCATGCACGCCAGCATCTTCCTCCTGACTGCCATGAGCCTGGAGAGGTACTGGGCGGTGGCCAGGCCGCTGCAGGCCAGGCGGGGCCGCGGGCCAGCAATGCTTACCGCAAGCTGGCCAGCGCTGTCCTCTGGCTCCTCTCGCTCCTGCTTACAGCTCCCATGATGGTGATGACCCAGCTGCGGGAGGGGGACAGCCCCCACAAGCGCATCTGCATCCCCACCTGGACGCCAGCTGCCTTCCGGCTCTACCTGACGGTGCTCTTTGCCACCAGCATCCTGGCACCTGGCGTGGTGCTGGGTGTTGTCTACACCCGCCTTGCCCAGGTGTACCGGTCCTCCACCTGGGGCCCGGGGCTGTCAGTGGCTGGGCCGG